GCCTACTGAATTGTAAATATACATTTTTAGTGTGCAGTACCTAAAGTATTTGTATTTGAGATGAAACCAGGTGCCTTAATGACAGTGCATGTATTTTAAACCTCCTGTTTTCTAATGTTGATAGGGCCTAAGATAAGTACGGCTAGACTGTTAGGCTAGCCGTACTTAATATTGATGGCTGAATTGTAAATGAAATTTTTAGTTTGCAAAGCCTAAAGTATTTGTATTTCAGACAAAACCAAAAGGTGCCTTACTGACTTGCATGTATTTGAACCTGAATAATTACTAGATCTAGATCTAATGAGGCCTGTGTACTAAACAGGCTTGAGTCGATAGGGCCAAACCTAGATCTAAGTACGGCTAGACTGCCAGTCTAGCCGTAAGTCAGTCTAGCCGTACTTAAGTACGGCTAGCCACTTCGTTAAAAATTACGCAGTGGCTATTTTTACGGCGAGCCGTAAAGATAGCCTCCCAGGCTATTTTTACGGCGTGCCGTAAAGATAGCCTCCCAGTGAGTCCCAGGCTATTTTTACGGCGATCCTCGAAAAGCGACCCTACTCCGCCTCTCATGTACGCGACATGCCTCAATGTATTAGATCTAGGCCTATAGTAGGAGCCGTTCAAAATATAAACTTACAACTCAGAGGGGAAAGGGTGTCTTTGGCTTCTGTAAGAAAAGTGTAAGATTGGGTGGGGAGGTTAACCAAATATGACACTTCTGTGAGATGAACGTTTTGCTCATGACTAGGAAGAAAAGGTAAAAGAAAAAGTGGATAAATGCCAGTAACAAGACCCAGATCTGCATGATCACTGCAGATCCCCGTTGTTGTTGGGGGTTTTTTTTTTTAGAGGAAAGGGGGGTGGGGGGGTTACAAATAATTTTGAAATTATGATGAAAATTCTGTAGGTGGATATCTAATTTCTTAATGTTTCTTTGTAACTTTGTAACTGTTTTGTTGATCTTTTAATGTCTTGATGTCTTTTATTTGTAAGGCACGTACCTATTGCATTGACAAGAGTCTCAATGTCTTCCATATTTATGCGTTCTTTCTAGTTCATATGGTTTGATTAAATTGTATTAACTGAAATGATATTTTTTTTACAAGCTGGTTAAAAAAAGCCACGTATAGTACAAGTATCTTTAAAATAATAATGGAAGTTGAAGATCGGAAAAAGTACTAATTAAATTGGTGTGGATGGGGGTTGGAGGCAAATGTGAGAAAAGTGGTATTTGGGTTTTGTGTTTTAAAAACGTCCCCAAAAGTGTAAGATTATATTTGAACAGCCTCATAGGTTTTCCATTTCCTCCTCTTCACCATCATCATTCTATTCTCTTCTTCATCTTCCTTCTCCCTTCCTCCACCACCACCTCTTCCTTCTTCTCCCCACCATCATCATTCACCCTCTCTTTATCATCACCACCACCATCACCTCCTCGTCATTATCATTACCATCACCACTGCCACTGCCAGCATCATCATCTCATTCACAGACATCACTACATTATGTACCACACCCACAAGAAGAGCAGACATTTTGGAGTTTTAACTTTTCACCTTGGGAATGCCTATATAAAATGTTCCTCCTTCCTTTGCACTGAGCAGATTTTTGATAGAGGTGTAAAATATTTTGTTGTTGTTCACAGTGATTAATTTATTAATTATTGTGATGCAATTTCAGGGTACAGGAACACATATATATATATTTTTTCATTTAAACATCAAAATTTTGCTCAGTATTATTGACCATAGTATCTGTATCTACCATTCCACCAATTTTCATGCAATTTTGTTAGGGAGTAGAAGCCTTCGGTTTTTAAAAATAATTGTTTGTTTTGCATGTTGGTGCTGTTTCCATTCCATGGCAACTTTCATATTTTCGGACTTATCTTTACTTTCTTCATTATTTCTTATGCCCGTATAATTTTTTTCCCTAAATATGAATCGGAAAAAAATCACCCTTGGGATGAGCTGTTCCCCGTAAAAATGGACAGTAATAATATGAGCACATCAGAAAACAAAACAAAAACTTAAAAAATGCGATCTATTTTATTATTTGAAAGAATCCCACAATAACAAGGTCCTAGATTAGATCTAGATTCTAGTAAAGAACATAAAAACATTGAATTGTTTAAAAGTCCAGAATAAAGACTATAATTATGAAGCCAAAGACACCCTTTCCCCTCTGAGTTGTAAGTTTATATTTTGAACGGTCCCTACTACTATAGGCCTAGATCTGATACATCGAGGCATGTCGCGTACATGAGAGGCGGAGTAGGGTCGCTTTTCGAGGATCGCCGTAAAAATAGCCTGAGACTCACTGGGAGGCTATCTTTACGGCTCGCCGTAAAAATAGCCACTACGTAAAAATTATGTTAAAAAACAAAACTAGATCTAGAGCTAGATATCTAGACCTAGATTCTAGATCTAAATTAATTTGGTTGTCTACAAAGCTATTTAACTTTCCGAATCGAGCCGAACTACACGGGTAGCCATTTTGTTTTGCCAGGAATTTCTCGCGCTACTCCTCTCTCTCTCTTTCTCTCTCTCCACTGCCCACGGCCACAGACAAAATTGCACGCTTTTAGGCTACGCTGTGTCTACGTACACGGTAACCGGGTATTTTGTTTTGTGGGCGGGCGCTTGAGCTAGGTGCACGGTAACTGCTTCGCTCCCTTCGTGACCTTGACCCTTTTCCTGTTTCACTCCGCTTTTTATGTCCCAAAACCACGAAAATTATCCCAATCTACTCCCCGTCATCTTTCCTAGTTTAGTTTAGTTTTAGCAGAGGTTTTACGGTACTCGCAACTGCATAAGGTCATATGAGCGCCAGAGAATTAGAGGTGTTACAAGAGAGTAACAAACATAAAAAAGAAGGT